CGACAAAGGGTTCAAAGTGAGCGCTGGCCCCTTATATGAAGTCGACTCAGCTGGCAAGATCTGCATCGCGCTTCTCGAAGTGTGCGAGTCTTTTGTATATAACTGGACGGCCGAGCAATTCAGTGACTTCCGCAATATTCAAAACACAGCCAAGAGCCTCCTGTGGATCACCCGTGGCGCCAACAGATGTTCTACCATTCCCCAGAACGCTCCTGTCATTGCGCTTGCACGCACGATCTTGTCCGAGGATCCGCAAAAGACGATTGTTACTCTCGACTTGGCCGAGTCTACTCAGCTTACTTCGTCTACCCTCCCAAAGACTGTGTGGTCTGTCCTTGCTTCAATGTTGGCTGGATCAGCGGAGGCTGAGTTCGCGGAAGAAGGAGGCGATCTGTACATCCCCAGATTGATGCCCCAGGAAGAGCTCAACAGAATGATCGAAAACGACTCTCATTTCGAGGTTGTCCAGAAGCCCATCTTTGACCATTCAACAATCAGGGAGAGTTACAATATGACGTTTTCTGAGCCAGCAATTTCGAATGATAACTTCCACTTCGTCAAGACCTCGTATCCTACAAAGCTCGGCCCTCAGGAAGTCGAAATCCAGACCCTCAGCGCGGCCTTGCATCTCTCTGATCTCCACACCGCCATGGGCCGGACTGATGATAACATCCTGGGCATCGATGTTTTGGGAATCGTCAGCAAAGTCGGTCGCGATGTGAGGGACATTTGCTGCGGAGAACAGGTCGTAGCACTTGTTCCCGGCGCTTTCAAGACGGTTCACCGAGTCCACCAGGGCTTCGTCAAGCCCGCGCCGCCACCGTTCGAATGTTGCCAGTACACTCCAAGTACTCTCATCGCTGCGTTCTATGCAATTTTAGGCGTCGGTAAACTTTCAAAGAAGAAGACGTTGCTGGTCCACGCTGCGGCAAGTTCTTACGGTCAAGCTGCAATTCGCATTGCCACCCTGATCGGTGCCGAGGTTTTTGCGACGGTCCTGGGAAGCGACTCTGATGCCCAGCGTGAAACTCTCATCAAAGCTCACTCCATTCCAGATGACCACATTTTCGACGCTAATGGAGAGTCTTTCGTTGCCGATGTTCTCCGATTCGGAAAGGTTAACATTGTCTACAACCCCACCCAGGAGCACACTGCCATCAATTTCAAATGTGTCAAGTCATGTAAGTCTTCAAGTATTCTTACCTGGTGCGAAGCTAACATTACATAGCCGGCTGCATTTTCCAGCTCTCCGACAAAACGGGCAAGGCTGTCAGAGGTCCTGTTGCTACTTCCACGATGTTCATGCGTTTCGACGTTGCCACCATGATGAAGGATGACCCTGACCTCATCATGGAGTTCTTCACCATGGTAGATCGCTTTGCATTTGACTACTTGCGCAAGAGCTCGAGCCTCCAGTGCCACCCGGTCCACCGCTTCCCCATGTCCAACCTTGAAGGAGCTTTCAAGCAGATTGACAAAGGACCTTACCACGGTCTTGTCACCATGACGGCCGACCGCGATACCCTCGTCCCTGTGGCCACAGAGACGCAAATCAAGCCGCTTGACGATGTCATCGACCCGAAAGGCACATATGTTCTCGCTGGTGGTCTGGGAGGCTTAGGAAGGAGCATAGCGAAGCTGCTTGCCGACAAAGGTGCGAAGAAGCTGGTGTTCTTATCAAGATCTGGCGGCAATCGGGATGCCCAGGATTTCCTTCATCGTCTCAGCAAGTCAGGCGTCCAAGCAACAGCAATTGCGGTAGACATCACAAATCTTCAGGCACTCAAGGCACTCGCCCCGACTCTTGGCAAGATCTCTGGCGTTGTTCAGTGCGCTGCGGTCATTCAGGTCAGGATCCTCACCCCTTTGGCTCGTATTTTACCATAGACTAACAGACAGCAGGATGCTCTATTCGAGAAGATGAGCTTTGGAGACTGGCACACCGCCTTCGCTCCCAAGGCAATCGGTGCCATCAACCTTGCAGACGTCTTCGGCCGAAACCCTCAGCCCAGCCCCTCGACCCCGGCTGCCGCCCCTTGGTTCCTCTTCCTCTCGAGTGCCTCGGGAATCATCGGTAACCGGGGCCAAGCAAACTACGCGGCGGCCAACGCCGTTCAAGACGCCCTCGCTCAGGCTCTCCCTCGCGCAGTCTCCCTGGCCCTCGGTCCGGTCCTCCAGGCCGGGATGCTGGTGGAGGACGAGGAGACCCTGGGGAAGCTCCGCGGTGCTGGGTTCTACGGAATCCGGCACCAAGACTTCCTGACGATGGTGGAACGGGCCATCACGGGGGAGGTCACCCCCGGCGTCCAGACGAGGCCGCAAATCGTCTCGGGCGTCGGCACCGGTGGCCTCATTCGCCAGAACGACCCCGGCGACCCCTTTTGGTCGCGCACGGCGCTCTATTCGTATTTGAATATGGTCGACGTGCCGATCTACTCTCCGGAGGGGGATCGTGATGATGGCGGCGTCTCCAGCGGCGAGGCTGACGTCAAGAAGATGCTCGCCGTCTGCTCCGGGGCGGAGGAGGCTGCGGTCATCATCTGCACCGGCCTGGTGCAGTTGATGGCCAAGGCCATGTCCCTTCTCCCGGAGGAGATTGATCCGGAGCGGGCGCCCAGCGCGTACGGCGTCGACTCCCTTGTTGCTGTAGGCGTGCGGAACTAGATTTTCCGCAACGCCGGGGGAGTCGATGTCTCCGTTTTCGAGATCCTCGGGGAGACGTCCGTTCGGGGCCTAGCTGGTGTCGTTGCCAGCAAGGGCAAGTGGTGAAGGGGAAGGAGGGGGCCAAGTTCCCTAAGAAGACTGGGGTGTTTGTGTGTGTGGCTGTCCGTACGAGACGAAAAGGAGCAGAGTGAGGTGGTCCAATCCAGTCGTACAATGGGGGCGTGGTTGTCCGTGTGTGAATGAGAGGATACAAATGGGCGGGATGGTGTGTTTCGTAGGAGGGACCAGATAGATCAACGCTTTAGAGGTTTCTGGGGCGGCTTCTCGTTTCTAATCAACAATTGACTGTTCTGTAATTATGCAAATGACCAGGCGGAAAGTAACCGTGTCCCTAGTTTTCAAAGGTATCACAGTAAGAGGAAACTCCCAAGTGCTTGTAGTAAAGAGTAGTCCTATCCCAGCTGCTGAAAATGAGCCAAACGTACCCTGGTTTCGATGAGTGAGCAAGACACGAGACGCCGATGAGTGAGTATCTCGAGTAAATTTCTTCTCCTATCTTCATTGAGTTTGAAAATCAGGTTGTGAGGTGTAGGCAGTAAGATAGCTATGGTATGTCTTGTAAGGTGGCAAGAACAATCTAAACCACAGCTTTATGACAATACTCAGCACACGGGCGGCAGTTTACATTCAACATTATGACCGCCTGATTGAGGAGAGGCGGTAAAGAGTCCTTTCATGAAAGCAAATGAATTCTTGCTGCGTCTTTCGAAACGTAGTCATATATCCAATGGTAAATTTAAGGCTTGCTTACTTAGTGCGCATGCCGAAAGCCTGGCTGGGCAAAGTTGCAAGGCAGGATTTGGGCCAGACATATGCCCTGGCCTCTAGACTGACTATAAGGCATCTTGAGTAGGCATGCAGGCCAATAGCACGAGAGTCGTGAAGCAAATTACACGATGAAAGATTCGATGAATACAATGCGACGGTGTGGTAAAACAGCGGGGAGCAAACCAAAGGCCTGTGCCTTATGCGAGCCTAATGAGTCAACAAATAAGTGCAATGAGCAGATGAGAGGCGGTTGCAGCCTGGGGCTGACTGCAGGTATCCGTGTCACCGAGACATGTTTGAGTGAGGTCAAGAGTCGAAGAGCTTGAGTAGTGGCATTGGCTATAATTCAGGAGCCTCAGTGACTACTTGGACCACGTGTAAAGTTATCTTAATGGGAAGGGGAACATTCCTCAAAGAAGGCTACCGTACCTAGTCCTCGAGTGTTAGCCTAAAGAGCCTCAACGTCAGGTCTCATCTTTTGTGAAGTACCCCAGACACATGTGGTCAACTGGTGGGCACACTGATAAGCTGCCTTGTTTAGACCGGTGAATCCAGACATTGTACTTAGACCAATACACCAGAGGGCGATGCAATAGGTAAACACACACCGAAATACTGGAATGGGGCTCTCGAGGCAGTCATGGTAGGATTGGTGGAAGGGAAAAGTGCAATAATTGCATACCTGAGTATGCATGCGTGGGCCAGAAATTTGGACCCTTGAAAACACTTTGGCATCGTACTTTCCCCAAGAGGCAAACGCATCCATTTATTGGGGGGGAGTCGGTCGCACACTCGGTACGTACCTGCCCTGTTGGTTCCTCAAAGTACACTGTTAATTCAGTCAACAACTGCCACAGTGCCTCGATGTCCATTCCGCGCTCCAATTAACGCGTCGCGCTATTCCAAGTGACGGACATGACATCAAATACTTTGGAGGAAGCTGCGATAAGATAAGGAAATCACCACTGCAAGCAGGACCGAGAGTCTACCTTGCCTCTGCCTAAAGGTACCATCTCGTTGCGCCTGGATGATAAATATTGCCGACCTCATGCTTGACCTACATCGCTCTCGCTCAGCAGATCAACCAGTGATCAATAAGTGGCCAAACAAAGACTGAGAAGGCAGCGACGCCTTTAGTCCTTGCTCACAGTCCTTGGGGCCGAATTAATTGTCGCTCTTTCAGTCTCTGTGGCAACGATCTTTCCATTTCCATTTCCATCACAACTCACTTCACTCTGCCGACAGAGACCGATTTCTTCTAGACGACAGCACGCGGTACTTCTACCACTTCGGCTCCCGACCCATCTCCGACAGCCTGCTGCAGCACAACATAAATCTCTCCAGTGCCCAGCAAATGTTGCAGCACCGCGCCACACACCTTTTGACCTCGTCGCCTGCAGCTCGCCTCATTTGAGCGAGGAAAGGGAACCTTCGCCCCGCCACCGCCGTCTTGCCCAGCATCCCACCGACCGACCGACACTCACACTGCGTTTGCGTAGCCAACAAATATGGACGACGACCCGGCTGCCACCCAGGCCCGGGACAAGGAGGCACTTAGGAACCTCGCCAACGAACTCCTGGACCTCGAGGGTGAACGAGACTTTCGACAAGCCATCGCCGAATCTCTCGCCGACGGGAACCCGCGAGACTACGAGAAGGCTCTCCGAGAATACGAATCGGCTGCGAAAACGATTGATAGCAAGACACTCGAGAAGCAGCGACTGGAACAGCGGATTCGGGCGGCCAAGAACTCTGCGCGCCAGTCAACGAGAGACGCTACATTCGGAGAAGACGCAAACATGAGAGCGGCTAGGGACCGCTGGGGAGTTGGTACGTGGATATTTTTATTTTGCCGTTACTGCGAAGCCTATCCAAACTGCCCAAGTTTTTCACTTGCGACTTATCCCGATTTCGGCCCCAACTTCTTCAAGTGAAGAAGTCAGCCATAGTACAAAAGCGATTAGCATGCCAGAGGTGGAAGGCCGACCGGAAGTCTGGCCTGTCTATCCATCATTTCATGGTCATGACAAGCGTGTTGGCCGATGAGAATGACAGCCTCAGGCTTGCTAAGGTGGTTTGAAAAACCTTGTGTTTTTCAAGCTACTTGATCGAAATGCGAAGAAGTAACGAAAACGTGGAGCTCTCATATCTATGACTGTCCGAGATCTGGGGGCATAAGGCAGGCAGTGTTCTCAGCGCCGCTCCTGCCTTCCCGAAAACCCCCAGTCTTGCCTTACTCCTGCCTAGTCGACGCCTTCCTCTTCCTCCTACGCCTTCCACAGGCTCACATCATAAATAACCTGGGCCTTTCATATTTCACCCATTCCTCACCCAACTCTCTACACTGGCCTGAGCTCCATCAAGACCCCCCGCCTTCAGAATACCTGTCTATTATTGATCTTGTCATTACCGTCTGGCCCATCCCAGACAACCCCTCACACCTATCCACGATCGAACATGATTTCGATCTAGCCGTATTTCAGCCTACCTGATTTATCAGTACCTTGGTCACGTGGAACACTGATAAAAACCTCTGTGAAACTGACACTCTTCCAGCCAACGTCCCCTACAGACCATCTCCCGGGTCCCAAAACGCCTCTCAGGAACCTTCGAAAAACGCATACGCCATGCCTAACTCGGGTTCCGCTCTTGCCGGCTCGGCTTCCTGGAACCCTTTTGAACCGCCTGTGCCCAATCTAGGTAGTTCGACAAGTCATATCAGTCCGTTCAACAAGAAGAGAGCATTTGGTTCCGGATATGAGTCTCTTGGCCAGGCCAACTCAGGCCGGAACAAGTCTCAGCGCATAGATGATTCGTCTCAAGTCATCGACCTTACTGGGTAAGTACAAAATATGTTCCACTGCTGGGTTGAGCTTAGGTCTGGGCGGCAAATGACTCTTCGTTTTCTGATGCAAGGACTAACAAATTTGGTAGGGACGATGATGATATACACACATCGTTCATGTCGCGCTCAAAGCAAGCGGAGGCACAGGAACGAGGTCGTAGAATGGCCTCAATGGTACGCACTCCTCGCAGTTTCTCTCAGGCCAATTCATACGACGCCAGGCCTCCTTATCCTCCTCCTGTGGTCCGCCATCCCCCAGGCGCATATGGCACTGGATATGCCAATGGGCTCAATCCCAGCATTGGCATTCCCCAGGGATATGCCAGCGCGAGCTCATCTTCGAGTATGGCTTCAACCCCTGGCGGAGATTTTATGCCCCGGATGCCGGGTTCTTACATCGACGAGGACGACATGAACCTTGGCTTCACGCCGGCTAGCCAGATGATGAACCGTCAGCTAGCCAATCGGAATGGATATCCTTTCGGCAACAGATCTTCTCTCAGCACCTCTGATGTGATCAATAGAGCTAACAACTACAACTTCATGGACCTTACCGACGGCTCCGGAAACCCGCTGGATGCTCGCGTTGTCTCCTTGATGGAGGACATTAACAATGACCCTCGCAGATCCAAAGAGGAAGTGGAGGCACTTCTGCGGAATGTGCACGCCGGCATGGACATCCCCGAAGAAGATCGGGAGGGAACTCCTGAAGCCATGAGATACCCTCTTTATGCGCACCAGAGAGTTGCGTTGACATGGATGAAGCGCCAAGAGAAGGGCACTAACAAGGGAGGTATTCTGGCCGATGACATGGGCCTGGGAAAGACGATTTCTGTTCTGTCCCTCATGGTGTCACAAAAGTCGACCAAACCAACATGCAAGGTAGGATTGCTCCCATTCAATTTCATACGGTGCTAACACTCCCTGACAGACCACTTTGATTGTGGCCCCGTTATCCCTGATTCGACAGTGGGAAGATGAGATCAAGAAGAAGCTCAAGAGTGGCCCGCCTCATGCCTTGACGGTATACATCCATCACAGCACTCAAAAGACGAAAGCCCAAGAGTTGATGAAGTACGATGTCGTCCTGACCACCTATGGGACCCTCGTCTCGGACAGGAAGAAGTATGCTGCTTGGCTCAAGGACTTGGATGGACGTCCTGCGTTGACCAAGACCGACCCCAACTTGGCAAGCTCTGTCTCCCTGTTCCATCCAGACTACTCGAAGTTTTATCGCATCGTTCTGGACGAAAGCCAACAGATCAAGAATCACAAGGCGCAGGCGGCTGGGGCCGCTTCCCACCTGCAAAGCGAGCATCGTTGGTGCCTATCCGGTACACCGATGATGAACGGCGTCGACGAGCTCTATTCCCTCTACAGATTCCTGAGAATCAAGCCATACAGCGACTGGTCTAAGTTCCGCGGCGCCTTTGGAGTGCTCTTCGGGAAGAAAGGTGACCCTCAGGCCCAAGCGATGAGAAACTTGCAAGTTCTCCTCAAGGCGACTCTCTTACGCCGGACCAAGACCTCGCAAATTGATGGAAAGCCCATTTTGCAACTTCCGGAGAAAACCGAGGAGGTGGTTTACGCAGAGTTGGACGAGGATGAGCGCAAGTTCTACACTGATCTAGAGACCAAGTCGCAGGTGCAGATCAACAAGTACCTGCGAAAGGGTACTCTCGGCAAGCACTATTCTCATGTATTGGTGTTACTTCTCCGCCTTCGTCAGACTTGCTGTCACCCACATTTACTTCTTGAAGCAGACGATGCAGTGCCTGAAGTCGATGACGATATGCTCAGTCGCGTCAGAACTTTATCTAGAGCGGTTGTTCAACGCCTCACTGAGAAGTCTCGCGCTCTCGAGAGTGCTGACGCCATCAATGAGGGCTTTGAGTGCCCAATTTGCTACGACATGATGCCCGACCCGACTATTCCACTACCCTGCGGGCACGAACTCTGTGCGGGATGTCTCAAGCAGCACGTTGACAACGCTAGGCGTGAGAACATTAGAAATGGCGAAGACGAAGGCCAGGTCAAGTGCGCTGTCTGCAGAGGCACGTTAGACCCGACGAACATAATCACCTTTTCAGCTTTCAAGAAGGTCTACATGCCTGATGAAGCTGCTAGCGGAAGCTCTGAGGATGAAGAGTCTGAAGGCTCCGTTTGGAGTAGCGATGATGATGAGGAAGAAGAAGAGGAGCAAGACGATGCCGATGCAGATGACGCCGACAAGAACGGCGATCTCAAAGGCTTCGTCGTTCCTGATGCTTACGCTAACATTAGTGATGATGAGGACGAGCTGTCAGGGTCTCCAGCGCCAAAGCCCAAGGCGACCGAGCCCAAGAAGAGGAAGTCAAAGGGCAAAATGAAGGCTGCAAAGTCTTCAAGTAAGGAGTCGAAGAAGAGACTGAAGAAGATTAAGGGCAGCCAGTTGGCAACGCTTCGAAAGAATGCCAAGAAGAATGCTGGTGCCTGGCAGGACTACACAAAGTACCTGAGTCACCATTGGCTTGCTTCATCCAAGACGAGAGCTTGTGTGGAACTTCTCAAGAAGATTCAGGAGACAGGCGAGAAGACAATCATTTTCTCCCAGTGGACTATGCTGCTGGATCTTTTGCAGGTCGCGATCAGAAAGCAAGGTCTAAACATCAAGCATTGCCGCTACACAGGAGAGATGTCGATGGCGCAGCGTGATGACACTGCTTTCACTTTCTCGAACGACCCGAGCATGAAGGTCATGATGGTGTCGCTGCGCGCCGGAAACGCTGGTCTCAACCTCGTCGCGGCTTCGCAGGTCATCATTATGGATCCTTTCTGGAATCCGTACATTGAGATGCAAGCCGTTGATAGAGCTCACCGCATTGGCCAGCAAAAGCCTGTGAAGGTGCACCGAATTCTGACTCAACAAACGGTTGAAGATCGTATCGTCCAGCTTCAGGAGAAGAAAAGGGCGACGGTGGATGCAGCTTTGGACGAGCGTGAGGGTGCGAAGTTGGCTGGCCTCAGCATGACTGAACTGCGTTTTCTTTTCAATCTTTGAGAGAGGATTGACCGATCTACATTCGATTTCACAATCCAGTTCCCAGTCTCGTTTGTGGAGGTTCACAACACAATCTCTGACTATCTGGATCGGAAGTCAATTTCTTCTGTGACTTTTTTGCACCAGATCTCGTTCTTTCTACGAGGCGGAGGAGGCATTTTTCTAATCAATGGTCTTGGGGGAGGTATTACGAATCGTTTACGACTGGCATTTTATTGCATCCGCATCACTACGGTGAACAGGAAACAAGGGAAGGGGGAAAGTATACCCATGACGAAGACATGGGCACAGAAGATAGGCTTCACAGCCAACACCACGGAAATGTGACTAGGATGGGAAAGGGGGGGGGGGGGGGAGATATTTCCTCCGGTCACCTCATCTTCTTTTTCTTTTCTTTTGTTGTCACAAATCCCATGAGGCGTCTAGGGTACAGGTACAGGGCCAGGGCTAGGCTCAGGACGATACAGCTGCCTTTCGGTATGCGAAATTCGTTCACGGAAACAGAGAAGGATCGCTAGATCGACAGAGATCACCAATACTATTGCTCATCATGAATTATGTGTGGCCCTGCAATAAATATGTGCGTGATGTATCCAGGCTGGTATCAACGGTCCCGTTGATCAACGACACGGGGTCGCTCATCAGTTGTGAAGGCTAGCCCAGTAATAAGGCTGGCAGAAGTAGAGAAGCATCCTGATAATTATCGAGTATGTTGTAAACGACTGTTGTTATTGATGATAGCGGGCAGAGCTGACCACCCTACCTTGGCCTCGTTACCACCATGCATCCTTTAGCTAACTAACCCTCCTGGCATGGATAGATGACGAGACTACTAGAAACACCGGGCAATATAGTTCCGTCGAGAAATGAGCCTCCCCAATGATCCCGAAGCACGAAGAGGCGCTTCTCATTCGCTTCATTCGTTCTTTTCGCTGTTGAAGAACCAAGCCTTGACCTCCTCCCTACATAGGCGGACCAGGGTAGTCTCCTAAACCTCTCTGGACTGGACAACAGCGGCGACGATGTCACTGACGTGAGGCTGCGACGACGATAACGACGGGTCGCCACCAGCCGCCCAAGACCAGCGCTGCAGGAGAGGCTTATCTCCCGCGCGCCAGGCGGCGCCAATCTGCAGCGTTGGCCGGCTCTCGGGGCCGCTGTTGAGGATATCGAAGCGGATCTCGCGCGTTTCCGTGTCGATGTCGCGGATGGCGGTACCGCGGACGGACTTGATCCACTCCGCCGGGGCGGGTTCCGAAGGGGGCGTAGACGGGTTGGACGGCTGCTGCGGCGGGGGGATAAGGGACATTGCATGGTCTGTGAGTGCGTGGGCCGCTGCGTTTGTGATGTAGAGCTGGACGGAGGCGATGTCTGGGTACGGGTCGCGAGAGGGAGGGTAGGAGGATTGCAGGGTGTTTGGCGGCGGCGCGGGTGGTTGCTCGCCGTTTGACGGTTCGCTTCCTGTTGCTGCTGTCGCTGCTGCAACGTTGGGAAGAAGTTGGAGTTGGAATTGTGTTGTTGTCAGTGGGAGAAGGAATGTGCGGCCGCGGATCTGGAGGCGAGAGGTCGGGGTCAGGGTCAGCTCGATCTGGAAGTCTGCCGGGGATGTGAGCATGTTTGTGAGTGCTTGTGAGGCGTTGGGCCGGTTGGAGGCACCGCCCGACGTGTTTTTCAGCTCGGCCGTCGGGAAGGGAGGGGTGTTGAGGGTGAAGGAGGCGGCGTCGACGCCGGCTTGTCGTAGCACGCGGGTGAGGTCGCCGGCGAAACTGGTGACTTGCTCGACGGAGCGGTCGTAGAGAATCTTGGCGATGATGGGTCTGAGGAGGTGATACTGGTTTTGTGTTTGGTTTCGACGTTGGTGAGGGGGCGTTGGCCGCAGTCGTTGTAGCTCGTTTAGGCGATGAGCGTGGCTGAGGAGGATGTGTAGACCGAGATGTGTTGCTTCGGCAAGGACGTTGTCGGGCGATGCGCCGACGGTGGCGGCGCTATCCTCCAGAGTTTCGAGCTCCAGCGTCAAACTTGGTCCTGAGCTGGGGTGGAAGTTGATGGAGTTGTTATCCGCGCGGACCCCGTAAGAGGCGAGGGAGTGTGCTTCACGATGAAGCTCATGCCAGAGCTCTTGTGCAAAGATGGTATTGCGGGCTTCGAGGACGCGATCTGGTAGCAAGGCCGAGTCCGGTACGGAGGCCCCAACAGCAAGACGGCCGCTCGGCTCGCCCGATCTGCTTACGGTGATGGCGAGGCGTTGACAGCCGGAACCGACGCGGCCGTGCTGGAGAAGCGCCGAGCCGTCATCTCCGCGTCGCAATGGCGCGAGACTGCTATTCCTGAATTCAGGTGATGCTATGCATGGTCAGCTTTGTCCGATACTCGAGGAGGGAACGGAGTCACCTGCCTTCTGAGAATCCGAATCTGACGCCAAGGGTATGTCGTTCCGCAGGCAGCCTGCACATAGACCATCCCGCCTGGTGTACTGACAGCACCTCGCCCCAATACTTTGCTTCACGCTCCACTTCCCTGCTCAAGTGGGTTGCCGCTTTGTCGGCCGACTCCTTTGTCTTTTCGATGTCGAGCAAAGCCAAACCCAGAGACACGTCGCGGTTGTCCTTTGCCTTCTCGGCATCCCTTTGCTTCTGTTCTTCGTTGTCTTCGCGCTTCGCAATACCGAGGGTTCCTATGCCGGTCCAGTCGCGCAATTGCTGAGAGAGTGTGACACCTGCCTGAGCAGGGCTTTCTTTCGAGAGTAATAATGAGACGAAGTCGAGAGTCATTAAAGCCGCGTTTTGCGCGGTACTGACGACGCACTGTTAGCCAAGAATTTCCGGGGAAATGACGTTTCTCTAGGAGTACCAACTCAATATTCCTCAGCACTTCCATCCTCGCGGCGCCGGCATCTGGTGGTTCCTCGTCCTCCTCGTCTCCCTCGGCCATTGTCGTGTCTTCCTCCTTCACCTCGCCGACGCCATTTTTCTTGTTCTCGACCTCCTCCTTTAGACTTTCCTCGGTGACGTTTCGGAAGCCACGCTCCGCCTGTACGCGGGCAATGAACTCGCCGAGGCTCTTTGGTTTGCGATCGCCTGTGGGTACGGGGTGGAGGGAAGAGAAGGGCATGGAGCTGCCCGACGCCATGGCGGGCAATTCGGGGTCGCGCGTCGATCTTGAATGGGTGTATTCAGAGATTCGAAGGCTGTGGAATCAGGAAACTATAATGCGCAGGACGGCTGCATGGCGTGGAAGGGAATTTGCGTCGCGAATGGTGGTAAGGCTGTAGTGCGAGGCTGGTGGTTGAATGAGAGCAAGAGCTATGGATTGGTTGGAGCCACCGAGCCGGTCTAAGCTCCACCGAGCATCCAAAGGGTGCGCATTTTCGGTGAAGCTACCAACTCACCGAGCATGACCGAGTTTAACTCACTGCTAGTTAACCGCGTCGGCCACACATCTCGAATTTAAATCACACTCACAGAAAAAAAATCCATAGTCTCCTGATTCAGCTACAAATTACACTTAGTGGGATGCGCCAAGATCTAAGGTGCCTGATGTCATCGCATAGGCTTGCGAGCAGTCATGAGAATACTCGTTATCATCGTTTGGTCTAAGAGAGAACTGATCGGACAAAGGGACCTCGGAATCTCATGGCAGATTCATTGCAAAGTAACTAGTCTGTAGGTATACGACGGGAAGATCGGAAGCAGGTCATCTCGGCATTGGTGCGCGACCGTGGTTCGGCTTTCTCGGGGGTGATCCAACTGATCTGGAAGCTTAACTCAGATATCGCTGCCAAATAGAGACGCTGCATCGAGGACTCTAGCATGACTTGTGCTGTGTAAGTGTGTGCGATCACCGTCGACTCAGTCTGACTGACGACCGGCAATTCTGAGTCGACGAACACGACGATGAGGCTTAACTCAATGCGGGCTATGCCAAACCGGCAACTCCACACCTGATGACGTCCAGCTCACAATGTTCAGGGCTGGAAAACATCAAAGTGAAGTGAAGTTGGTCTTGCGTGATTCCGGATTGTTTACAGCTCAAAGTCCTCATGATCTTACCACGTATTCAGCGGTGACGTTGGTCGCGATGGTAGAAATGCAAGGTTCGGCGGAAGTGCTGAATAAAGAGGCCGAGATATCTCGAGTTCGCCTTGATGATATCGTGATGTCTGATTGCACCACTTTGGATGAGTATAGATATCGGACGACTTATGAGTTGATATGTTGATCTGAAAGATTCACCGTCGTCGCCGCCGCCGGGACTTCGGAGGTTGATCCTTGCATCCCTGCGAGAGACGGGACCTCCACTGTGAACGAGTCACTGGCTGATGGGCCAACTGACGAAAGTAATGAATGTAGTTTGGGTGTTCACATAGAGCTAGAGGCACAGGCGCGCAGCCTAGATAAAGCAGCATGAAGCGCTCTTACGAGGAAGCGGGCATATGGGGAATGGGCCAGCTATGTCTAGACCATGACATGCGATAGTATGTTTCTCTGCGCAGTATTGTGTTGTTGATTTTAATAAAAAGAGGCGTGCAGACAAACCAGCACCCACCTCATGGATTGCCTGACATTCTCATCGAGTTCTTGCACCGGCCGTCGGCCAGCCCCGCACTGGAGCTTGATGGAGGGGCAATTGGAAAGGATCCATTGGTAAGTTGGTGCAAGTCTGGACCTGGCAACTGAGGTGGATTTTGGTGCGACTTGTGCAAGGAGCCCAGAATAAGCCCGAGATGGGACGCTGGAAGAGGCCGACTGAACCTTGCTTGGTGGTTTAAACCCCTCACCGGCGACCGGAGTAAGAGCGAGAAAAAAACACACGAAGGAGACCAGTCACCAGTCAGTCGACGGATTGAGACTCCAGTTGCAATATTCCCAGTATTTCCCTCACTCACCAATGGGTGTAGCGCGAAATAGCTTGACACACTGCTATTGTCGCAGCAAATGAGCGATTAAGCCAGCCATCCCGAGTTAGGTGGACAGACAGCACCATTGTAGACGGTTGCGGTTGGAGAAGCTTCTGCAACACATCGCTGATCGACTACTCGCAACAGGTTCAGCTGAAGAAACACGTCGAGTAAGTAATACCTAGGTAGTCCACTGTGACCGCGCTGGCCAGTAAGACCGTTGCATCGTTCCTGATTCAGCAACGTGAACGGTTTTCCATAGGCTCGCTGTGACACCGGTGCCCTGCTCCTGTGACGATGCTGTGCGGCCTCTGCGGCTTTTGGACTGTTTTATTTCTGTGAGGTGGGCTTGGCTGACCTGAAGCTCCCCGGCGCCAAGATAAGGAGCCGATAAGAGCTGGGCGGGCTGTTTTGGAGGGCACTCAACGTCACTGCGCGGGCTCGCTGTTGGGGGAGGATGGAGGGGTCGAATCATGGGTGGATTACCTCGAGGTAAGTACCAGGTAGGGAACCTACGTTTGGTGAGCTGAGGTCCAGTGAGGTAAGGTAACTTTCCAGGTTAAGGCATCTGACCCCCCGTTCCGAGTGTGATTTTTCTGCTATTTTTTCGAGGTGCGGGTGCTTCAAAGTGGCTCCGGCGAACTTGGTCCCCCGCCATTAAACCTGTCTGGTCGTCTTTTGCGCAGTGCGAAGCGTGAGGTGTCCCACGCTATAATTATCTGGCACACCAGACGGCCTTTTTTTCTGCGGCGTCCCCCTCCAAGCCCGGCCAAGTGTGTCTCGCAGCTTCCCCCCTCGACCTATTCCTGTTCCACGTCCAAGCTCCAACCACCACACAGCTTCTTCCAAGCACTTGGCGCCTGCCTCGTCTCGCCTGGAACTTCATGATCTTTTCCTCTCTCTCACTCTCCCTCCCTCCTCCATCTTCTCTGCCTCACATTCCTATTGCCTCTCCCTCCCTGATTCCGCACACGGCCGGCTAGCTCGTACCATCATCCCTTGAACATCTTACCTCCAGCTCCGTAGAGTATTCCCCTCCACGCCAAATCTCGACCGACGGACCTTTAGACCCTGTATACGGTCACCTCCGCCCTCCTCCGCCTCCCTCCCCCCATTGACTCCGAGGCCTCGACAACCTACGAACATCACCACCACAGCTACTCTCCGCCGCAGCCATGGCTCCCACAGCTGCCAAGAAGAAGATTGCCATCATGACCTCGGGAGGTGACTCCCCAGGCATGAACGGCGTCGTCCGCGCCGTAGTCCGAACCGCACTTCACATGGGATGTGAACCCTACTGCATCTACGACGGATACGAAGGCTTGGTAGTAGGCGGAGACCAGATCAAAAAGGCGGAATGGGGTGATGTGCGCAACTATCTTGGCCAGGGCGGTACTCTGATTGGAACCCGCCGCTGCATGGCCTTTTACGAACGACCCGGTCGTGTGACTGCTGCCAAGAACATGATTCTCAACGGAATTGATGCCTTGATTATTTGCGGTGGTGACGGTTCCCTCACTGGTGCTGACAAGTTCCGCGCCGAATGGCCTTCCTTGATTGAGGAGCTCGTCTCCTCCGGCCAGCTCAAGAAGGAGCAGGTTGACCCCTACAGACACCTCAACATTGTTGGTTTGGTTGGATCAATCGACAATGACATGTCAGGCACCGATGCCACCATTGGATGTTACTCTGCCCTCGAGCGCATCTGCGAAATGGTCGACTACATTGAAGCCACGGCCTCGTCCCATTCGAGAGCTTTCGTTATCGAGGTCATGGGCCGCCATTGCGGCTGGCTGGCTCTCATGGCCGGCGTTGCGACAGGTGCCGACTTTATCTTCATCCCTGAAAAGCCTAGGGAGGAGAACTGGGAGGAAGAAATGTGTGATATTGTGAAGAGAGTAAGACCAGAAAACCTAGCACTAATAGTAGTCAAGACGACGCTGACAGGATGTAGCACCGAAGCTTTGGAAAGCGCAAGACCATCGTCATCATTGCCGAGGGCGCCAACGATAGCAACGGCAAGAAGATCACATCCGAAATGGTCAAGGACCTGCTCGCAGACAAGAACGGGCTTGCTCTGGACACCCGCATCACAACCCTCGGTCACGTTCAGCGTGGCGGTACGGCCGTCGCCTACGACAGAATGCTGGCTACCCTCCAGGGTGTAGAGGCCGTCAAGGCCGTTCTGGAAGCCACTCCCGAGACCGAGACCTGCTTCATCGCCATCAACGAAAACCAAATCTGCCGCAAGCCACTGATGCAGGCTGTCAAGGATACCAAGGAGGTTGCAAAGGCGGTTGACGAGAAGCAGTTCGAAAAGGCAATGGGCCTCCGTGACACTGAGTTTGCCGAGATGTTCAGCTCTTACATGATGACCACAAACGTCAGAGTGGATGACCACCATCTGCCGGAGAAGGAGGTTTGTCAATTGAGCTTCGATTACAAGAGAAAACGGGAAACTAACGATTTCGCAGAGAATGAAGATTGGCTTCATCAATGTTGGCGCACCTGCTGGTGGTATGAACGCTGCTGTGCGCGCTGGTGTTGCTTACTGTCTTTCGCGCGGCCATGAACCCGTCGCCATTCACAATGGCTTTGCCGGATTCGCTAGGCATCATGGCGATAAGCCCGTCGGTGCCGTGCGACCTTTCGACTGGCTTGAGGTTGACAGCTGGGCCAGCAAGGGAGGATCGGAAATCGGTACCAACCGAGAACTTCCTGCAGAGTCGGGCATGGAGCTCATTGCCAATCTGATTGAAAAGTACGAGTTTGATGGCTTGTTCCTCGTCGGTGGCTTCGAAGCCTATCACGCCGTTTCGCAACTGCGCAAGGCCAGAGAGCTCTACCCCTCTCTGTGCATTCCCATGGTTCTCCTGCCAGCTACGATTTCCAACAACGTTCCTGGATCAGAATACTCTCTTGGCTCCGATACTTGCTTGAACGAGCTTGTGCAGTACTGCGACAAGATCAAGCAGTCCGCTTCCGCCACGCGTCGCCGTGTGTTTGTCGTTGAGACACAAGGTGGCAAATCTGGATACATCGCGACTCTTGCCGGTCTCAGCGTCGGCGCGAGCGCTGTTTACACGCCAGAGGAGGGCATGGACCTCGAGATGCTGGCCGCTGACGTTCGCCATCTCCGTGAAATTTTCTCCAAGGATAAGGGCCAGTCGTCATCTGGACGCTTGATCCTCATCAACGAGAAGGCTGACGATGTGTTCAACGCCAAGCTCATCGCAGACATCATCCGCAAGGAGGCACGCGGCCGATTCGAATCTCGCGACAGTATCCCCGGACACGTCCAGCAGGGTGGCGTTCCTTCGCCCATGGACAGATGTCGTGCCGTCAGACTGGCGATCAAGTGCATGCAGCACCTCGAGGAGTTCCGTCCCAAGTCGCATAACAGGTGTAAGAGGGACCCCATGAGCGCCTCTGTCATTGGTATCAAGGGTGCCAGCGTCACATTTACGCCCATTTGGGATCTCGAGGACCACGAGACGGACTGGAAGAACCGTCGGCCCAAGAACGTTCACTGGGCGCACATGGGCGATGTGGTCAACATGTTGTCCGGCAGACCTCTCCACCACACACCGGAGAAGCCAATCACCGGCCTCAAGGCAAAGGACGTCAAGAGAGGCCTCGACGATTGAGATTCACCGCAAGAGGCAATTGGCAAGGTGCAAGCGAATAAGCGCTACTTTAATACAAGGAGAAAAAAACTAAATACAATGGGAAAGGAAAGGGTGCTACTTGATTCAACCTGGGGAGATGTGGCGCGTCGGGGTTTGGCTTTGATTATTACCTAGGGAAACTTGATGAAATGCATTTTCTATTAGACTAGACGATATCGCTTCCCTCTCCCCGCACTGCATGGCCCGTGAGACTGGCTGGAGTGGGATTTTGAACTTTTCCGTCTTCAAGGTGACCCGGTCGTCAGGCCCTCTCGACCTTGTAACCTTGCTACCGTGGTAAAGCGAAAGAGTATCGAACCCGTTTCGGGGCAACATCTCCGACCCTAGGAACCGTGGTCTAGAACCTCACAGCCGTCCAGACTCTAGTCACTAGTAATAGTCTCAACGGCCGCCCATCCCAAGTCCGAGGCGTGGAGAATCAGTCCGAGAGATTGTGGGTGCCGTGCAGGCAGGTACAGATGAAAGCGTACTCCATGCTTCATACAGATAGATAGGTACAAAACGAGAATTGTTTATAGACAAAACGGGATTATGGATGGCGAACGGATATGGCTCGGTTCGGACGAACTATGAGCCCTTTTCATCCGCACTTCTCGTCCCATTTCCCATGTGTCCCCCCATGCTCTCGGATCCCGGAACCTGGAAGCCTCGCAATGGCGAACTTTCAAGATGTGTGCTGAATCCTGCGAGTGGCTTCTTCATCGAGCTAGTTACGTACTGATCGAGGTTTGGCTCACGGGCGATCTTGGGTCATGATAGCCTATCTATCCGCTTACCTTTTATCCGAACACAGTCCGAATCGTCATCTCAAAGAACCATTGATCTCCCGGAGCCGGGAGAAACCAGGTTATACACCGTTGTAGGCTACGGGTTAACGTTGGCCACATGGCGACGGGAGTCAGTGGCCCGAGGCTCCAATGGACCTCACTCACAGTCTCACGCACACCTCTTCCCCCCCTTGGGAAACGAACGAGGGGAAATCCTTCCCGTTTGGAAAGTGGCTGAAATCCGGATGGCACAATAGATAAGCTTACCTGGGTAAGTTAGTGAATGCTGCGCTGGGCTGATGTCAGAAGAAGAGTGACAAGGGGCGGTTGGTATTGATGTGATGTGAAGTGATTTCACTGGCCCCTTATTCAATGAGCAACAATCAGCCGCTGCTGAGCGCGTAGCGGTCCATCTCTGACCATGGAATTGCCAAAGTAGTCAGAGGAGTTTCCGGTTTTCAGTCAGAATAGACGAGAACGCTGAGGATCTGGAGGTGAGCAAAAAGAAGCAAAGATTGTCTCTACTTCGCCCCTCTCACCAGTGAACAATCAGGCTCTCTGCGGCTGAAGGATTCGGATTGGGGGCCGTTGATTACTAGGCGCGAGGAGACATGTGGCCAAATTGTCTGTGCCTTTCGTACGGGCAACTCCGGGACTCAGCGGAATGATTTTCCCCCGTCTCGAATTCCAGCCTCAAACTAGAAACCAAAGTACCGTCAGAGCCCGAAGGAATGAGATATCGCACGACTGCATGGCCGTAGGCTCGCCCGCCCGCGAGACTAGAGTTGACGATGAAAGCCACAAGGTTTAGGGCGAACCTGGTCGTTCGCGCGGTGGGGAAGGGCCGCCGCTCAGTAAGCACCACCTGCGAGATGTACTGTATGGAGTGGTTGTGGCCCACCCCATCTTAATGTGGTTTCCCCTAAACTCGGAGGAGAGATTTGCGGGCTGGGGTTGCAGCGCAGGCTTTAAGCTCGTTCCAAGGAGGTAAACCGAAGCGAGAGACCATTGGAAAAAAAAAAAGGCCTTTCTGGCCCCCAACCCTGGGCGATATCCCATGTTTTCGGTCCTTGACTCCTTTTTCATAGCTCACGAGGAGGTTGGTTCTGTTGTGTTGTGCCCCTTGAGAGACTAAGAGAGTTGTAGATCAGCTTCGTCGCCTTTCAGCAAGTGTTCTTTCCAGGGAACGAATTGATGAGCGAGAGGGCATCTTCGAGGTTTGTGCTGACGGCATAGTCCTCAGGCCTAGGCAGCCGCACATGGCCCCCTCCGGATATCTCGTCAACCGCCGTTGTCGTGATCAGCTGTACCTATACGGGCGTTGACATCTTGTTGGCTCTGGATCAAGCAAACTGCAAGCACACCAAGCCCTACCGACAACGCCACAACCGAACTCTTAAAGCCAAACCCATGCGGGCTCTATCACACTTTAGGCTTGGCTGGTATCTTTGTTCAAGACCCTTGGTCGCGGCATAGGCCTTATTTGTCAATTTGTTCTTCATAAGCGTTGCCTGCCTGTCCAATGGTCGGTCTTTACCCCCGAACGCCCCACGCGACTTCCCAGACCGATGGCTGTGTCAGCGACATGGGTAGATCAACAAACGGGCTGAAAATGTCTCTGAGCCAACGAGCTTTCAAGTCGTCCGTGGAGGCAGAACGAAGGGACCCTTTGCCTTGTAGGTTCTTCCGGGGGTCACGCTACTGCAAGTCAGGTTGCTGCGGTTGAGCTTCCCGACTTGGGATTGAAATGCAACTGAGCATCACGGAAGCCCGGTTCAATACATCCCCGCCGGAAAACTGCATGGGGCTGATGGTGATAAACCCAGCGATCCCCGAGTCTGAGCGGCAACCAACTCCTTTGCGTCTCCTTATTTTGCGCGTGTCGACTTTCCACCACGACTATTAGGTCCCGGCCTATCGAGATTACCGAGTCCCTCTTGCGAAGTTGAATCGCGTTTAGCAAGAACTCAGACTTTTCCTAGGATAGTCTTGGCGGTCGTTCGCCGTAGCCGTCTACGTTCACCGGCTTCCATGTGGCATTCTTGTCAATAATGGCGAGATCCTTTGGAATTCTCTTGGGGGTATTGCTCGTCTTGTCCTCCCCAGTATCGTGTCTTACGGCATGGTGGACGGAGCTGAGCCCCCATCTGGCGTTGCAAGACCCTGCGACGGGCGACATCCGGTACACCGCTTGCAATAGTAACTCCACGCCCATCTTGCCAACAGATGGGCTCAACATCTTTCTTCTCCAGAGAAAGCCGAGACTTGGCACCTCTATTGCCGCTGCTGGATGGTACGATGTGTCGAAGAAGACGACGATTGTAAGTCTCTTCTGGCTTCACAATGTGAAACGTCGCAACTGACCTCTCCATTCAGGCCTCGATATTCTACCAAGCCGAGGACAACTCCATTGTGAACGGCTACTTCACCTGCAACTTCGATACAGGCCATTACGCCATCAAGGGCGAGTACGTCATCTCCGCAACGGCCGGACTCGACTCCATACACAACCAGACCGGCTTAGCCGTCGAGCTACTGGGTGCGGATGACGGGTATCGTGTCTTCTTCCACGATGAAGCAAAGACAGTCAACGTTTTATCGTACACAACCAAGACCGACTGGAAATTGCAGGGGCCAATCTCGCAGGACCCCGTAGGAGGAATGGCCTTGACATCGGTACACTCGGGGCAGTTCAACATGTCTGTCGTCTTTCCCAGAGACTCGGAGAATATTGAAATATCGAGGTTTTTCAAGGACGAGACGTGGCATCTTGGTCCGTTTTCCCCATTGTTGTTGTGAGTGATTTACATGCTGACCATCGCAAAGCTACGCTGCCTCGCCCACTCCTGGGGAACGCAAATGAATCGACGAAAGCAGCCGATATCCACCTCGATTCGACGCTTACTCCGAACTTCACCATGCCGGCTTTCGCAAGTAATCTGACTTCGCTAGGCGCAACGGTGGATAAGGCATATGTACGCAGCATCTTCTACCTGGGATCCGACGCGAAGCTGCATCAAATGTCGAACATCGATTGGCAGTGGAAGCTCATGCCCGACCAGGATGCGCGCCTCTGGCCTGCTGCGGATGTTGCGAGTGGCTCTTTCGCGACAACAAGCAACTTTGACACTAGCGAAGCGTGGATATGGTACCAGTCAAACGGGAGCCTGGTTCAGTTATACCATGCTGAAGATGGTCTTTGGAAACAAGCCGTGGTAGTCCCCAGCTTCAACGCAACAAAGGCTGTCGAAGAGGAGCCCCAGGGAACAGCAACACCTTCAGCTTCATCGACGGCCACAGCGAAACCAGTTGTCTTATCAACAGGGGCTAAGGCTGGCATAGGGATCGGCGTTTCTTGTGGGGTTGTTGCGCTTGCTGGAGGTATCATCCTCCTCTTAGTGAGGAGAAGGCGGCAACGGGCAGCCGAGATCGCCGAGGCAGCTCGTCTGAAGGAAGCCGAAGCTGTTGCTCAAATGGGACCGTACGGCGAAGGCGGAGTGGGCCCATATACGGAATTCGGAAACTTGACGTGGGGTCCCGAGACGCCGAATGAGAAACACGGCACCGAAATACTCGAGGCAGATGCGGTGGATACGACCGCACCGCAAGAACTAGCCAATGGAGGCGAAAGATACGAGCTCGTTGGCGAGGGCCATTGGAGAGAAATGGACGCAACAGGACAAAATAAAGCGAGAAGAAGTATCGGAGGCTGGAGAGAGGCGCAAGAGGCGGCAACAAAGAAGTAACGAAGCCGTGAATAATGAAGCCACGTAGTGATTAACGACCATGATGATTAAAGATTTTATCGAATCGCGCCAAAGGCACTTGCCCGAGGGCAGCTGCAGGTCCAGTGATATTGTGTCAGGGCGTGTCAAATATACATCGATTTTAGCAAGTCGTCTCTCCGTGTCCAATTTGATTGCTGCCGGCTTAGACGACCAAACGATCCCTGCGTGACTCTGGGAGTACCCAAACACTTGGCCATGTGTCTCGTGGTGCGCAAGCTGGGGCATGAATAATTGAGAAGGTATGCGAACTTGCTAAGATTGGCATCGAGTCGGAAGACCTGAAGTATGTCGAGCTCGATATAGTGAGAGAGTGAACTTCAGTACTCGTAATGATATTCACACAACTCGGGTCCCTTGGGTGCAGCGAACCATGGCGAGCGCATGATGGTCGACGTCCGGGGGATTCAGAGCTTCAGATGGAACTAGAGTATCATGTTCCAACAGTGACTAGTGCCAAGTCAAGACGAAGCTCGCTGCTACCGGAGAAGGGTGGTGTTCAAGGCTGAAGTCGTCCCGAAAAGGCAGAGATGGAATTTGTGGTGTATGAAGACCAGGTCATGTCTCAAGATGGTATGGGAGGCTACTCCATATCGGAGCATCGCGTGGACGGCCCGGGTGATGGCATGTCTCTCTCAAGGGTCTTCCGGGACGACGGGACGGTCCAATCAGGGATGGCTGTTCCGGCATGTCTCCAAGGTCCGAATTGAGGGATTGAGGGTAGGAAGCGGGCGAATCAAAGACGACCTCTCTTGGCTTCCCTTCAGAGTGAGCTTTGGGTGGAAGACTGGGCGAGCATATTCGTAACTACCAGCTAGTCAGACTGTGGAAGTCCTTGGGCGTGAGTGATGGGTCGGTCCTGACGATCAGGCTGTGACTGGAGCAGCGATATCCTGGCACAGTCGGTGAGAGCCGAACCTGAGCCTAACTGCGGAGAATTGACGGGAACTATTTGACGACACATGGCTTAGACTGTTCAGTTGCCGAAGTTTTCCTCTGCGGTCACGGTGTTGATTGGGCGGTAGCTGTTCCCGGATGTTCATTTGCGATGGAGGTCAAGCCTCGAGAAGTTGGTTGTGCTCAATGTAAGGCAGCTCGCAGTTTGCAAGACGAACGGATGCGACGTGATGATGGAAAGTGTCTAGTTGAACTGGGAACATTAGGCATAGAACAGGATGAATTTGTGTTCTAGGGAGAAGGCCCGGCAGTTGTCGGGAATCCATAAGTGGCATCGCATGGGACGGCAAGCACGAATTGCAAGCGATTCTTTATGTCTTTACAGCTGGTGTCCAAGGAATGTCTTGGCGTAAGAAGGAGAAGCAAAAGTGGGCAGAGGGCGGGGCAGAGCCGACAGAAAGGTCAAGGTAAGGTGAATGGTAAAATGCGGCAATGCAGTACATACGGAGTAGTGGAAGGGAAGGAGCGACGGCCGGGGTAGATGCAGGATTGCGTCAGTGCCTTTTCTGGCGATGAGTTTTCAGAGCAGGTGCGAATGTGACGGGGCTGGGCACAGCGGATGGAGGGGGAAAGAGGAGGGGGAGGGGAATGGTCCGAAGGGAAGGTGGGAGGGGAGACACTGGCTGGACGGTACTGCCAAATGCAGGGAAGGCGCGAGCAGCTGTCAAGTTACTGTGTAGACGGAGCCGTCAAGAGCTTTCCCGTCCCCTCTTGCCTTTTGGAAATCCAGAGTGTGCTTGTGACAGTGACATGGTGACTAGTGACGATGACTGGTGGATAGAGGATGGGAAAGAATGATTGGAAAGAAGGAGCGAGAAAAGTTGGACAACAGCCAGTCTAAGCTCCACTTTCCCATCGTCTTAGCTTCGTCTTCCCGCCATCCTTCCACAATTAGGAGCTTTTCCTAACTCTCGCCGTCCCCTGTTTCAACCGGACTTCCCAAGCAATAGCAGAGATACAATATGATCTAAAATCAGGTCTTGGGGGTTCTCAAGCCAACTTCATGCGTACTTTGGCGGCGGACTTGCCAGGGACACAGAGCTCCATCATCCTAAACTTGGGGTGTCATTGAGAGACACGATGGAACGCTGGTGGAAGCAGCCGGACCAGGCTGTCTGTGTGCAATAAAGAGACACCTCAAGGACTGGAAGTGACGGCCTCGACTGACGTGTCTTCTATCTCGCCTGCCGTACCTTACGGTATCTTAGAGTAAGTAAAGCAAGGTTTCTCGGTTATGAGAGAAGGGCGAGGCAGGAGTCGAGGCCATTTCTATCACATCGATACTTTCCTTACGTACCCAGATTTGACTCCTTCCACAACGGCCACTCCGGAACATCTAAGCTTCCTCGGGCGGACACTCAAGCTGTAGAAGAGATGCGGGATATCAAGATGGCTCTCGCTGTATGGAGTGGTAAAGTATACTTCCTGCAACCAGCCTGCGAGTCACAAGTCAAGCAGGCAGGCAGTCATTGGGCACCAGAGATCGGTGAGAAACCAGGCGCCCATTTGCCCTCTTCTTGTCAGCCCAATGAATGCCCATGAAGCAACTCCTCAGCTTAGCTGCACCACTGCCACTGCCAGCGCCCAAGTGGATGCCTCCCGATGCAATCAAGTGGATGATTGACGACTTGACTGAATGAGAAGACGGAACAAGTCCCAAGATCGCCTTTCTCTGCATCTTCCATGCCTTTCCTTCGGCTTACCATCAGCTGCCCGTCATCAACCACCATCTGCTACGAACCTTACCTTACGGATATGCTTCGCCCGTCTCCAGCTGCAAGTCGTAACCTATCGACATCTTTCCGTTTGCTTTTTGTTGGCCCAGCCCAACGTAGCGCAGCCTGCATCGTTATTCCCGGATCGCTGGAGCCTTGTTCCATTTTCCCCATCTTCTTCTGTTTCTACCTTATTTGACTGGGCATTCTCGACCATCGTCAAGGGCTCGCGATAGGGCACCCATCGTTAACGCCGCACATGCAACTCCAAACACAAAGTTTGACATCAGAATATCATAGTCTGTAGAATACTGCCGTCCGCAAACTTTCAAATCCCAAATTCGGCCCAAATTGCCCTAAACTAAATGTATACACGCGGGTCCTAACAGGGCCTCGACACCCTCCGTTCTCTTTGCGACGGCATCCCTACCGTCCCGCTTCCCGCAGCAACATAGACAAAACGTCGGGAATACCCCTGCTCAGTGACAGCGGTTCACCGCGCGGCGCTTGCCCACAGCTGGGACTGGCCTCGACTCGAACTTGACAGACCTCGACCGCTCCCGCTATGTGAAATAAGCCTGTGGTGAGCAAGAACGGCCTTCGTCTCTTGAGCCGGCCAACCCCTCCCATTTCCATTGCTCTCTCCCGTCCCTCTCTTTTCCCCCTCCACTCCCAGTCCCCATCCACCAAGGCCTGAGAGAGATCCCCCACGAACCTCCAAGGACCACACACATACAGCCTGCTGGTGCCGCCCTATATCACCTGTCGGCTGTCTTAATTACATACCACCTTGCCTACTTGCCTACCTACGTCCTACATACATACATACCCGGCTCTCCTACTGTGGTATGACGACGTTGCTCCTACTCTGACTCTTTTCCCTCTCACCTCTCTCTCTCTCTTTCTCACTCACTCACCCCTTCTCTTTACCCCCTCCTCCCCAGCCGGCGCAGCTCTAGGCTCGGCCTCAGATTAAAGTACCTCTTCCACTACCATCCGTCGTGCGTCGCTCAGTCCCAGCGCTTCAATACACGTTTGGTTCATCCTCTTTCCAGCGTCGCCTTTTCTGTTTGCGCAGGATCTTGGTGTATCGTCTTCTCTAGTGTCGGTAACGCTCACGCTATCACCTGCGCTACACAATCACCACTACACCGGCTTACTACCCCGCCATCCATCCCACCTGTTCATATAACCTCACAAACAAACACTCACGGACGCCTATCCGTCACACCTCTCCTAAACCGAATAGCCGTTTGCGTTTCGCCAACAAAACATGGCTCACCGGTCCAACGACTTTGAGGAGCGTTTCTACGACGCCCCCCGCCGCCAGCGCGCCGAGAGCCGGGTTGCTTTCGACGAAGTTGATGTTCGTGTTAGGGAGCGCGAGCGTGAGCGAGAAGGTGACCGCCTCCGCTTCCTGCGCGATGAGCGTCCTCCCGAAGCCGGAGCCCTTGTTCTGAGCCGCAGAGAGGTTGAATCAAGAGAGCTGTCACGGCCTCGCGCCCGCAGCCCTAGCCCTGTTTACCGCGAGCGGGTTGTACGCAGAGCCCGCAGCTTGACACCTCCGCACGTTCATCATGAGCAAGAGCTCGAGCGCTCCCGAGTTCGCGTCACCGAGCGCGAGCGAGAGATTCGCAGTCCATCCCGCGGCCCTCCTCCGGAGATGATCCGCGCTCGATACGTTGAGAGGCAGCGCTCACCCTCTCCTCCTCCTCCCCCAGCCAGAGAACGCAGCCGCGTTGGCGTGCGCATCGTCGAGCGTGAGAGGGAAAGAGAGCGGGTTCCCTCCCCCTCGCCCTCACCGCCACCACCACCGCCTCAACCTCAGGTCATTCGTGGCCCCACGATCGAAAGAGAAGTCATTACGCACTACAGAGACATCGATCATGGTGAGTACAAGGACAAACTGCAGGAAATAAGACCCCCGCGAGGTCTAATGCATCCAGGTGTTACCCGCGTGCCCAGCCCGCCGCCTCCCCCTCGTCCCGCTCCTCGCCCCAAGACCCGCACCGAGGAGCGTGAGTTAGATATCGACATCACCACCTCCCGCAGAGGGACCGACATTGACATTCACCGCTCGCAAAGCCGCCACCGATCTCCTAGTAGGGAACGCAGATCCCCCGCTTTCCAGGACAGCAGGGAACTCGTCGTGAGTACCGACCGTCTCCGCATCGACGACCGTCATTACCACAGCGGGTCACGCCGTAGAGCTCACTCTGCGGCCGCACGCACACCCGTCGATGAGGAAGCCGAGTACATCACCTCCAAGATCGACTCACGCGGCAAGATGGGCGAGGCTTGGAACGGTGCCACCAAAGACTGGTCCATTGTCGATGTCCCGCCCGGTACCGAGCGTGTCCGTATGGATGGCGTTGGCGGTGGCTCTGCCGAGGTCACTTGGCAGCGTTACAACGGTGTGAGGCGGGCACAGTTCATTCCCGAACGGGACGGCGCTCCCATTTCGGCGCCGGCCCCACTTCCCGCCGAACCCTCACCACGAGAGTCCCGAGACCGCCTCAGCCTCCAGGTTTATGACCGTGAGACTGAGATCGAAATTGAGAAGACAAAGGACCGCGCCCCGCGCCGCGGACCTCCATCAAAGCGCAACGAGATGTGGACCGAGATCACAAAGGACCTGGTCATTCGTGATGCCATTATTCAGCTTGGATATGATTTCGAGGAGACTGAATACTTTTTCTACATTATGCAATACCTGAAATACGTAAGCTTTTTTGCCTCTGATGTTAATACGGTCAGATTACTCACCAAACACAGGATGATGTGCTTGAATTGGTGCAGGTATCTGACGATATCCGCCGCTTCCGCAAGCAGCGCGTCCGCGAATATGAGAGGGAGTGGGTGCATGATGACTGGGACCGCCGGTCTTCTCATCACCATCACCACCGCGGACCAAGCAGCAAGTACGACGATGAGCGAATCTACGAGCGTGAGGTCGTCTACGACAGTCAGCGTCCCCGACGTTATTAAGCATTGCATAAACACAGCGCAAGTGAGCCCAAGGAACATACAAATCGAATACCCAGCCGACATGCGGCAACTTTGAGGGGGGCCCGAGACAGGCACGCCTTACATTTGGATTCGGACTACAGAACATATCATTTTCGGGATGGGATGTGCTGCATTAGAGAAACCGGATCTGCCGGGCGGGCAAATGTGTGTCTTTTTACTTCACTTTTTCCCACTCAACATGTGGGGTTTCTGCCTAGCACCATGTGTAACGATTTATGAATACAACATAGCGGCGGAGAAATAGGGCGGAGTTTAGATTGTATTAGGAGCAAATAACGAACTTATGACTCGAATTCTCTTGACTTTGGCTGCTTCAGTGACTGAAACCTCGCGTTCGATGGTCTATGGCGCTTCTTGTGGATGTATCTGGCCGGCCCTGCGCAAACTCCCCGTCTGCAGGGCCCGCAGTAGACAAGACGAGCTTGATCAAGTTGAGGAGGTCCCGTTGTCGTTTCATCTGGTCAACACGCCTGAAGCGGGTTTCTCATGTCTCCTCCCGACTTTTGGAGATGGACTGTCGTCAAGGCCTCGGTCAACAACCATCCCTCTCATGGTCTGGATCTAAGGCAATCTGCTACTTTTATGTCCATACACGCAGTATATCGACATGTCTGAAGTCAAGCAGGCAGAAAAAGTGATCCGGTGTCAATTAAATGCCGACTTGACGGATATCCCGTGATAAATTCCACTAGACTAAGCAGCCGAGGCCTTTGTGGCCATTCTCTTGTTCCCTATAAATACACCAGCAGTCAACGCAGCAGATCTCTGACCCTTCGAGGCACCTTGGGCGTTCTCGATGTGTTCGTACAAAAGAATCACACAGACTCATGACGCAGAAGCCGGAAATGCCTCATCTAACCCCACTCAACCTCTCCAGATTTACCTCGCCGCCTAGACCTGCGCCCTATACCTCTGTAAGCCTCTTTCTGGGTATTCAGAAGTGAATAGAAGGCTTCGACAGGCGGATGATGAGATATTTGTAGGCGTACTTGGAACATTTTATAAAGTGGCTAAAGCTAACTGGGCTTTGGGCTTAGAGAACGGAGTAAGAAT